TAGGATTGGACGCACTCTCATGAAGTCAGGTAGCTGCATAACAAGGAAAGTGTTAGATTGGAACCCACAGAGTTAAAGATCAAGGGGAAGACCACGTGGAACCTGGAGAAGAGTCACGGAAATTGATGTACAGAAAATAGGGAAGGCATGGAATAACATCAATGGGCAAGCCCAGGATACGGAAATTGGAAAGTGTTTGTTCGTGGCCTATACCCTGACACAGTTTGAGAAAGGCAATGATGATGACATACCCTGACACAGTTTGAGAAAGGCAATGATGATGACATACCCTGACACACGGTGAGAAAGGCAGTGATGATGAAGGGATTTTTACGTCACCATCGATACAATTTAGATCGTTTCAGAGATTGGCATCGACCCTACCTGACAGGGTCAACCCGGACTGAGAGGGATACAACGTCCTAGCAGAAGGACCGAATACTTACTTTACTTTACTTTTTCATCCTCTGTTGCCGTTAAGCGTCGAGGGTAGATGCAGTTTTCTATGGTAGGCCAGCTCCGCAGCTCTTTCAGTTGTAATGTGTTTTCTTAGGGTTTCCTTGACACCCTCGATCCACCTTTTGCGTGGCCTTCCTCTTCAAAGACCGAGTAAGTCGATAAAAATTCTCCCCATTTGGAAATTGAACCCAGGTCTACTGTGTCTATACTGTGTGCACTCACGTGCCCTCACGCCCACATTCGTGAGTAGGTGTGAATTCGCATGGGTAGACGAGGTCTTCAGAGGTGTGCTCACGTCATCATGCCCATTATAGAAAATGGTGAAATGGTATGAGTTTAACGCCCCTATCAACACTATAAGGTTATTTAAGAGGCGGGGCCTCCTAATTTAACGTCCGTCTCCGAAAGGACCAAGCCAAATGGGAAATTCGTTTAAAGTGCCCTTCCCAAGGACAAAACGTCGGACCGAGCTGAGGCTCGAACCCCCCGAATCCGCAATCTCAGGATTGCGAGTCCGGTAGCCTAACCCCTAGGCTACCGACACCACTGCCCATTATAGGCCTACGTGTATACGATATTACATTGTATAGCGACTTATGTGTATTGTTTTAGTTGTAGTAGAGGTTTTACGACGCTCGCAACTGCATTAAGGTCATATGAGTGCCAGAAGACTAGAGGTGTTACAAGAAAGTAACAGACATAAAAAGAAGAAGGGGAGATAAGGACGATAGATGTTTCGTAGGAAAGAAGAAGCAAACCACACCAGAGCACCCGCCAACCACCCACGTGTATTGTTTATAGCCACATAATATTATGTGTGTGCCTAAAGAAAGGTACCAAAAGTCGCCACAGACCATTTTGAGCTACAGGCTGATATGACAAAAAATCACTTTTTTTTAAAAAACCAAAATGTGTTTCCATTAAAAAATGACAGTTCCACCATTTTGTAACCATGCATTAAAAGAGTTTTCATAGATTAGATTTCTAAATATTTTGTTTTTAATTATTTTTATGGTAGATTATGTTTAAAAAAAAGATAATGAAAACTGCTTTTAAAAGGTGTTAAAATCTATTCTTGAAGCACGTTTTCTCTTCCCTACTATTTTTTACCTTTGAATTTTAATCATGATATTGAGGTCAACTGAATGCGGAATTGGAAATGAATTTTCCATGAATAAATACATTAGATTCAATTGAATCATCGTGGGGGG